TACAATCGATCGCGAAACTTTTCTGGGAACATGTCGCTGACGAGTTTGTGTTGAGTATCCACTCGTTTCATGACCTTTTTCTGACGCCTTGCCACCATGATGTCATAAATGATAAACACACTGACTGTGGAGAGAATCACAAGAGCGACAATACCAGTGTACATAAGCGGTCGGATGCTGGAAGTAGCATCTTTCAATGTGTCCGAAGGAAACAACCGAATCGTCAGTTGATCGATGCAGATTCCATCTGGCAAACCTTCTTGTTCTGCACCAAAGCTGAAGAATGGTGTGCTGATTTCCATGTCATCGTATTTTTCATCATGGGCATCGACTAGTCCCAAAAAGTCAGCTCCCAGTCCATTGATTTCATAGGATGCTTGGAACCCACAAGAGCTATCCATTACCAGAATTGTGCCGTTGGCTCCTTCAGGAAGAAGATTTTGGAAAAAGTTTCCCCACCCCATGACAACCCAGACAAATCCGACAACCGTTCGTTCGGATGCTCGACTCTCGGGGAAGACATCTTGAAAGACTTTGCGGTTTCGAGGAACAAAGACATTCAGGAAGTTAGAAAAGAGATCTGGCAAGGTCATCATGTGTCAGTTGGTCCTCAATAATTATTCTTACCTGGTTGAACCACTTGAGCTTCGACTCCCAGGATAGCCTCAAAGAAAGCTGCCTTTGGCTGTTGGGTAATGTTGGATGTCGCCACAGCTGACCTGATGGTTGGAACTCGAAGCATATTGTTCATGACAAAGACGCGTCCTTTCTCGACTTCAAAGGGATATCGTTGCCAGTTGACCAAGAACTCGTTCGAGAAAGGTCCTTCCTGTGGTTCATGAGCTCGTGTTCTCGAAGAGATGTTGATCCAGCTGATTTCATCAACAATGCCTGGGACGTCGGTGGCGTTCATCTCGATTCCTAGATAGTCCAAGTCTTCTTGGATTTGGGAGTGGACAACACCATTGGCGTAAGCTTCAAAGGCTGCTCTCTCTTGTTTCTTTACCAAGGGAGCCATTGTGACCAGACGGGCACTAGCAGCCAGTTTGGCAGTTCGACTTGCACGAGATGTCCAATCGGGAATGACAACTTCAGGCCAGCTTTGATTGGAATTCTTGGCGTAGGAAGTAACAGAGTTGGAAAGGGCTTCAATGGACGAAAAGGTCGACTCGACATTCTCCTTGGATACGGCCATGACTTCGGAAGCATATCTTTCAAACTGCATTTGTTAAACGGATTTTTCATGTTGGATATGCAATTGAGTCACGGCGTGGCAAAAAGATACGACGCGAGAAACGACAAGAATGAGCCTGTCATCCAATGAACTCACAGTAGAACGAAACTGTTCCTCTTCTTCAGCCTCCAAGTAGAGGTATGTTCCAGTGCATCCAGCCACTGTAACCACAATGAGCATGAAGATCATGCAGTATTTTGACACATTGACGTATCGTTGCTCTTTACCCGCAACATCAATTTGTAGGGGCACCTCGCGATTCTTATGTGTTAATCTGGAAAAGGAAGAGAAGGTCGAGCTCTTACTCGTCACGGAAGCACTGTCCAAACCACTCTCTTCATCCGAGTAGGTGCTCATCGTGTCTTTTTTATTACTGTTCATGATCTGATGACGGATCTAAAAGTTTTCCGCAAAGTGTGTGAGAAATGTGATATGCATGATTCGAAACTCGTCACGGTTTTGAGAAACGCGAAAGAAGTGCTTTTTCGGGAATTCTCCTTCGCTCGCGCTAAATGCATCCATTGATGTGTCATTTCTGTGGTTTTCCACAATTATGCAATGTCAGAACGCTAAATTCTCAAAGCATCTGTCATTTTCGCTGTTTCTTATGTATTGCTTGGGAGCTTTTGGCACGAGTGAAATAAATCGACAAATGACAATGACGTTCTTCCACGAGCCTCAGTCGAAAGTGCAAACGTTAAGAAGCTGAGTTGCGAATGTGATGACGGCTAAAATGGTTGAAGGTGTTTCTGTTCGACAGTGACAAAAACCGCGAACTAATCAGGATTTCATGTCAAAAAATGCCGGAGTTGAACCGTACCATACCTGGACCCTCAGCAACTCGTCTGTCTGTCGTCTAATTTAAACGGGGGGAAGCACTTTTCTCTAGTCTTCCCCCATTATGTTTTGCAGTCAAATTTAGGGGCCCAAAGTTCTACTTTTGGGTCGAATCGAAACACGACAAACCAGTTCGAAACACGACAACAGATTCCGAAACGCGACAACAGAATTTGAAAGACGACAAACCAATTCGAAACACGACAAACTCGAATGAAACACGACAAACTCGAATGAAACACGACAAATCAATTCGAAAGACGACAAATCAATTTCGAAAGACGACAAATCAATT